GCTGAGGGTGCCCAGGATGTGACGCTCTGCAGCCCTCCCTGCATCTGGAACTACACTGGCCTCAGGCCCCTGCTGAAGATTCAATATTCTGACACGGCATGATCTCAGATGTGCTGTTTCCCTTGCCCAACAAATGACTTCACTTCTGTTCTTAGCTTGGACAGTATGTGTTTGTATTAGCAAACCAACAGAAAAATGTAAAAAGAAAAATTAATAAATCAGATAGGCCAAAGGTTGTCTATCTCTGACTCCGGTGGAAGTTATGACTTTGTTGTGAAGTGTGGGTGGGTGATCACTGTATCAAACAAATGTATTTTATGTCTTTAAAAGACATATTAACCAAAATAAAAATGCATTAAAAAGTAAGTTCTTGGAAATATAGCTCTATTCCCTTAATTATGTTATTTTACATCACCAACTGATACACTTTTTTTCCCCAAGTGTAACTTTTTTTTTTAATCAAAGTATAGTTGATTTATGATGTTGTGTTAGTTTCTGGTGTACAGCATAGTGATTCAATTATACATACAGATATATATTATTTTTTAGATTCTTTTCGCAAAATAGGTATTACAAGATATTAAGTATAGTTCCCTGTGCTGTACAGTAGGATCTTGCTGTTTCTCTATTTTATGTATAGTAGTTTGTACCTGCAAATCCTGAACTCCTATATACTTACAGTGGCAATGGATAAGACATAGAAAGTAATTTTCTTTTTGGAGAACTATTATTTTCAAATGCTATTTATTATGAATTTGAGTTTTTCATCTGGAAGTCTTAAACATGAAAAATGAGGCTTTTTTTTTTACAGTTCTAGATTTGTTTATGACTATTGTGCATGCGATTTTGGTTCTGCAGCACACACAGACACACACAGTAACTAACTGTTAGGTTTGTTCCTTGTCCAATCATCAAGCACAAATCCAGGAATACATACTACAGCGTGACAAGTCAAGCTGCTTAGTACTGAATCTGACAGTAAGTGAATAACAGAGATCATGAACTATTTCTGGAAAATATTCAGTGGACTGAGGATATGCTATGTATTCGTAAAGCAACTGGGAACAAGACTTAGGTGTCCATCTAAATAAATGGTTCTGATTCTGTTTGCTTTAAGAAAAAACAAATGTTGAGATTCTATTCTATCTAAAGATTAACAACTCATTTATATACTATCTATAAGGTTAATTTTTATTTGTTTACTATGGCTGGCAAATTATTATATCACCCATACATATCTGATTCCACTCAAAAAAGCCTAACATTTGGAATAGCCATGGTTGATTTCATGAAGCAGAGTACTCCACATTTTCCACTTAATGCTGCTGGTGAAACCCAGCTGTCCAACCTTACCGTTAGAGACTACAGTATATACAGCAGAAACAATCTGCCTGTTGACCTCCAGCTTAAGTTCAAACTATGTCATTCCGTCAATACCATCTACCTTGATTAGGTTGGGCTTTATACACAACAGGTTATGATCCCAGAGGGATGAAAAGCTTTCCCAAATTAAAAGCAGAAATTTAAAAGGAAATACTCATACATTCCTACGCAGTTTCCATTTGATATCCTCAAGGCTGGCCCATGAACTCAAGTTCATGTTGATTGAAAGTGAATGTTTCTTTCTGGGTGTAGCCATCTTACAAATTTAATGGCAAGAGGAAAATAGTAAAATGTGTTCCATGTTTCAATTAGACCTTTTATAACTTGGCACTTGAAAGATGGCAATGCCAAAGAAAAATCATTAATCCAAAAAAACAGACAGAAAGGATTGTGCAGAAGAAGACAGACCTCCAGGCGTCTAGGGCCCTGGCAGAGCATTTCCTCACACCAACACGGCTTGCCTCTTGTCCAGCCTCACTGTGAGTCTTGTCTCATGCTTCATGCTACTTGGATAAAATGTATGCTTTACTTGAGTCTAAAATCCAAAGAAATACAACCATGCTTTCAATTTTATCCTTATCCAAAGGAGCTGTATAAATAACCAGCAATAAAATGTTGGCCAGCCTTGAAATGCCTATTCCTGCACATGAATGAGAGATGAAAGAACACATACACATACACACACACACACACACACACACACAACTGCAAAACACAGAACTAAAAGATGCATCCTTCCACTTTGTTTTACGATAGTATGTAACAGATTTGCTCAAAAGGACCGGAGCTTTTCATAACCCTAGTCCAGATAACTGTGGACACAAAAAGGCTGCCTGAGGACTTTGAGTCACAAGAAAAAGTGGTGGAGTGATGTTTGGAACACGTGCAGACCTCTGTGAACCTCCAAACTCATTTCCAAATGATGTAAATAGACCCTGTCAATAATAGAATACATAAATTAGCTAAGAGTCAAGGGAGCAAGAGATTCCATCCCTCTTGGTCTCCTGCCATACCTGATCTGTCAGCACCAAACCTCAGACAACCCCACTGTGTTTCTTCCCTGCTCCTACTCCGGCAGCTCCAGTGTGGCCGAAGACAGTTACCAAACCACAGTGGTTGGTTCCATCACTAGTTCATGCTATTTGACTTTAGCTGAGGCCCCAAACTGCCTCACAAATTCTTCTGTCTCAAACTGACTCCCTATCACTTTCAAACTGTCAACCCACTTCTGGCCCCACTTTCAACATCAAATTTTAGAAAGAGTAATTTGCAGCCACTGTTCCTGTATTCTCATCAGTTAATCACTCCTTAACTCCTAAATTCGGGCTCCTGCCTTCACCACTCTAATGAAATTATACCCTAAAGTTTGCCAAAGGTCTCTCCCAACAATCGCCAAATTTCATAAGATGATTCTATGCTTCCTCTTCCCAGACGTCTTAGCCTCCCACACATGGACAAGTCTCCTCCGGAAACTCTCTACCCTGTCCTCTGTCCTCTGGCCAGCATCGCCCTCTTCTTCTACCTCTACCTGCCCTCATCTCTCCTGGGACTCCTCTGTCTCTTTTCCCGGTGAGAGTAGTCGTGGTGGTTTCGCCCCTCATTCCCCTGTCTCTTTAAATCCCAGGCTCTGTGAATAAATGCCTAATCTCTTCCCCTAACCCGGACAGCTCTTCTTAGCATTAACTCTTATTTTCAGTGACTGCTGCACATCTTCACTCAAGAAGTCTGCTAGCACTTCAAAGTCAAACTAGCCCGATCCAAAATAATCACTTTCCGCTTCCTCCAACCATCGAGTTATCTTGACTCCAAGTGGTTGCACCTTCTGTCGACTGTACTCCCATGAGGCTTTTTGACTGTAATCTCTACTCCATTGCCCCAGTCTTGTTCAAAACCTCTACACATTTCAGCTGGACACTTAAGGCAGCCTCCTAAATGTTATGCCTACCCTCTTGCTATCATCAAGGGGAGGAAAATCTTCCTAAGGTCCAATTCTGGTTATTGGATCATAGCATGTCCCTGCAAAAAAACTTCAGTGGGTTCCCGTGCCTATTAAATAGAGTTCTTAAGTTCTTGGCATGGCCCTAAGACCTTTTCTGATCTGCTCCCGCTCCACCTTCAAGTTTTATCACTAGCTTTGCTCTCAACTACCAACTACTTCTGTATTTTTCTGACTCAACTTTTCTCATGATTTTTTCAACCTAAAATTCCCTTCTTCTCCATCTCTGCCTGTTTAGTTTTACTTATCCTTCAAAGTATAACTGCCCAGTAACCTCATATTCAAGTCAGTGGTTTACATATGGACTCACCCATGATCCTTCTCATCTTTGCATCTGCACAGAGCTTGGCTTCTTGCCTTACATTTAGTAGGACGGCTAAACTTAAACCCACTGTCCTCTGAAGACTTACCATACTCATTCTTCTGTATGTATTCCTGACCCCCAACTCCTCATGAATGCCCACTGCAATCATTGCTTACTTCATCCTACGTTATTCACCTTACTTCACGTTTTACTTAGTTATCTGGGTACACATTTTTTCTCACTACTACATTGTTAGCTCCTTAAGTTTAGGTACTTTTACTTGTTTATCACTCATACAGTCGGCCCTCTGTATCTGTGGATTCTGCATCCACAGATAGAGAGGATTCACTGTACTGTGCCATTTTGTGTAAGGGATTTGGACACCTGCATGCGGACTTTGGTATTTGCACCTGTGGATTTTGGTATTAGTGGGGTCCTGGAACCAATCTCTCATGGATACCAAGGGATGACTGTATAAGAGCTAGATTAGTGGTTCTCAGAGTCTGGCCCTAGACCAGCAGCACCGAATCACGTGGGATCTTGTCAGACATGCAAGTTTCTGTGTCCCATTCTAGACCTAGTGAATCAGAAGCTCTGGGACTAGGCCCAGCAATCTGTGTTTTAACAGCCTTCCAGGTAATTCTGATGCACACTGATGTTTAAGCACTGGTAGAAAAGAACTTCTTACTTATAAGCAGCCTTCAATAAATTAAGACATACATAAATAAACTGTTTACCTTTTTATCATTTAATATTATACTGACATATAATTCTCTTGAGTGTAACAATGAGTAAACTATGTACTACCACTTTATCAATATCTTAAATCTAACTTGTATATTTTGAAGGGTTTATTAAAAATTACAGAAATGATGTATAGTGGTACTCTTTTTATAAAGTCAAAAAACAAAGTAAATGATAAATTGGGCATGAATAGTTTTAGTGCTACTTAAAAAGGAAAACAAGAATGATAACCACAAAATTCAAGATCAGGGTTACATCTGGGGGAAAGCAGATGGAGAAGATGCTGAGAGGAAGAACATATAAACAGACCCAAGTTATTGGTAACATTTTGGGTCCTGTGTTGGGTGGTGGGTTCACAGACGTTCATTACAGTACTGAAACTGATTAATTACAGCCAAGCATGGATCAATGGTGACAGTATTTCATGAACTAAGGATTATTAATTAATCTAATAAAATGTGTTCTGAGATCCATAAAATGTGTTTAAAGAGATAAAAAAGAACTAAGATCTGTCACAATCTGTCCCTAGTATTATTCTTAACCACTAGTTAGGATGTTCAATGTTAACTGTACCTGTGTGCGGTTGAAAGCCACTCTTGCAAAGACAGCTTGGGACACACTAGCCCTCTTCAGCTCATCTCTGACTTGCTGGTAGATATCTGGAGACACTTCCACAGAGGAGTTGGTGGGCTCCGGCTTGACTGCTCTGGGAATGGGTGGATGGTTCAGGAACTGCTGGTTGATGGCTTGAGGATGCTGGTGGGCCAGGAGCCGGCTAACGGCAATCTGTTGGTTTATCAGATGGGCCATGGCTATTTGTTGCCTGACAAGCTGCGGACTGAGTTGGGGAGAAAGAAGACCAGGGCTCATGATGGGCTGTAACGCGGGCACTTGGTTTCGGATTGGAGTACTGTGGTGGATTTGGCTATGAGGAGACTGTTCGTTGGTTTTCCCCAGGGATGCCAGCTGGTTCATATTTGGTAAATGCATTGGACGCTGGCCCAGAACACAATAGTCTGAAAGGTTTTCTCGTTCCACTCTTTCCACTGTTAAGAGATGAAAACAAGAATTCATCATTATTATCACCTGTATAATTTATTGCCGATATATGTAGCACCAAATTATATTTTTGGTATTTTAACAACATAGACTTTTTTCATACAAAGCTGGGAGTCCCAGAGTAAGCGTGAGTTACTTTACTCTGTAAACTGTTACAATAATAGATTTTTCCATAGGTAATATAAATGTAAAAATATTTACCACTTCAATCTTCTTAAATTTCTAAGATTAGGCATTTTATTGAATAGCCAAGACAGAAACCACTAACCATTACAAATTCCAAATCTTCTCATATTCCCAAGCTCAATCATCTCCCTCATCACCCTCTGTGATAAAAACACCAGCTGTTTTCATCTTCTACAGCTTGTGGTTAATGGTGTAGTTCATGGTTATCAGGAAATGACAAGGACAATATCTCCTGCCAAAGTACCAGCTACCTCCTAATAAAAATTCCACATAAATACTATTACTCAACTATGGAAACATTTATGGAAAACGACTACCACAGAGTGTATTCTTTTATCTTCTCATTCGCTATCTTTTTTATAGAAATATTTCTTTAAGAAATGGATATTTTAATGATTGTGACACGGATTAGGGTAAGAAAAAAGTCTCACAAAATGAACAACCTCACCTTGATTTGCCATTAAATAAGTTTCTCCCCTTCTCCAGTGTCTACCTTATTATGCTTTGTTGCACTTTAGTAAAGATTTAAGAAATAATTGAAAGGGAGGGGGGAAAAAGTATCATTTATGTTCAAATATGAAGCAGATTTTTTTCTTTCTTCAAGATTATTTCTCAGGAATGAGTCACGTCACAGTCAAATCCTTACCTAATTTCTGTGTTACTTTATTATGTAAAACAAGTTGGTCTGGGGAAAACACATTAGGTTGAAACAACCTTGACTCTTACTAGCTTTAAATGCTTGTAGATGTAAAAATCATTTTTAAAGCAAAAACTTCAGACAGATTTAGTCATTTTTTTCTTACAGTTGCAAATGTTGAATATGATTACGCAAAAGCCTATTAATATAACTTTAAAGAACACTGCTCTGGGTGATTACATGCTGGGGAACAAAAAGGTATCCACCTATAAGACAATTTTTTAAAATAACCACTCCCTTCCCCCACCATACACAAATAATGCTTGTAAATTGGCATATGGTTTACAGTAACAGAATCATATTTGATCAAAAAAGTACTGAGTCTCAAAAAAATTTAGGCAGAAATGATGTGTTCTGAAAAATTGGGTAAGATAATTCAAAACAGGGGATTTAGTGATGACAAAGTCCTTAGTACCAAATCACACATGAAGAATTTTAATAAAATCAGTCAATGAACTGTAAAGGTGGGGAAGTGATATTTCTAAATAGTTTATGTAATATGTGATTAATACACATGTGAAGGAAATGAATATATTAACAATGTAAATAGGTATCTGATTGTTTTATCTGTATGTCTGAATGTTTTATATATTTAAAACTTCTCATTGTGAAAATAGATCAACATCCATATCTTGGAATCACCATATATTCAGACATAGACAGTATTTTTTATTGATTTTTAAAAAAACTGAATGATTGCTTAACTTTCCTATGAACCCTTAACTAAGTCAAAAGTTTACCTCAAACTTTTTAAGAGCTCAGTTTCTAACTTAATCCTTTCAGTGTAATTCATACAGTTTATATTCACCTTTCCTTCATAAGGTTCAAGGTGAACAAATTATTTTCACCTTATACTCTAAAGGCAAACATTTTTCAGTCATTGCAATAATTAAACTTCACAGTACACAATCTTAAAACCAAACCAAGTAAATGGTTAAGAGTCTTCGAACAAGGCAATCTAACACAGTTTCCACAGAACAGATGTTACTATGATAATTTCCTTACTGAAAAAAGAGTAGAGACCACAGACTCCTTCAAGAGTAAAGGTGTACTTTATAGGAAGAAATATTTGCACTCAGGTATACATTTGACTCACTTTTGTTTGTTTGTTTGCTTTTTTCCAGCCAAAATAAAGGCACATTCAAATATCAAATTATGTTTTCAGGTACTTAAGAAGCAGATGTTTTATTCATTTCTTCTTCTACTCAAAAAACAGAGAAACATCCTCTGAAAGCTTGCATTCTTTGACCAAAAGTTAATTTTCCCAAAGGTCATTATTTTCATTTTTCAGAGATTTAATTACATTTGAGTGAGTTACTTTCTTAAGATATATCTAAATCACATCATTAATTTAAAAAAAAAACACAAACAAACAAATGTCAGAGCTCCATGAAACCTAGATGAAATTGTTGCAATAAGAACTGGAATAAAGTCAGTCTATATTCCTTTAAGATTATACATAATAATTCTCCCTTTTCTTATGAGTTTCCATATCCTTGTAATTCCATACAGAACAGTGAGTGAGGAAGCATCCTTAGAGACGTGTAGTAACACCACAGTACTCACTCATCAGTCAGCCGTGATGAGGGAATTGCAAACACAAATGTCTACACACCCAGGCAGAGAACAACAGCCAGAGAGGCCAGCCACAGAGATATCAGGGGAAAGCAGAGAAGGCCTGCCCAGTCCAAAGAAAGCAGCCACTCCCATGACTCTGCCAGCTGTCTTTCTCACATTGTCATTTCTTTAGATTTTTTTTCCAAGAAAATGAAAAACCTGGATTTTTACAACATAGCCCCTAATTTTTAACCTAATTCCATTTTCAAAACACAACTGAAGCCAAATGAAACATTTATGAAAACTAGATCCTGCCCATTCATGGGCTACTGATGTTAAAATTTTGCCTGTAAGACTAAAGACACCCCCTATGTTGTTAAAGAAAAAAAAAATCAATGATCTTTGTTAAAGATGGTAAGGCAGATCTTATTCAGGACCATCGCAATAGATACAAGGATTTCACAGAGGGAGAGAAAATGGACCCAACTCCAAAGACAGATTGGGAAAGCGAGAATTTATAGTCAAGGAGCAGGGTGGAGGTCAGGGGGTAGAAAATTACTAAGAGGAAACTTCAACAGTAAGGGGGATTCTAGCGAAACCGACCCAGCAGGATTCTTTGCTGAATATAGGCCAGGGTGATCAGACATCACCTGGGGGATGGTGGAGGATGAGGAACAGATGAGAATGAGATAGCGAGGGTGATCAGATATCAAGGCTGAGGGGTTCTGGTTAAACTGACTTAGCAGGGCCCTTGTAAAACTGGACTTTACAAAGACGTGCACAGATAGGCTTAGGAGAAGGTTCAGGAGCCTGCCTAAAGTTTGGTCAAGCAAAGAATCTTTGTCAATGTTTTCCAGTCCTGGACAGCTCCATCAATAGAAGCCAAGTTCTTTACTTCCAGTAATATAGAAAAAAAAAATCATCATCCCAACTTGAAGAATGCCTAAAAATCAAATGCTTATCAACAGAATGAATCTCTACTGACCAAGGCAATGCATGGTTTCAGGAATGGTTTGCACAGATTTTGCCAAATGTGAAAAACTTCTTCAATTTTTTCTGCTGCCATTCATATACAAAAATATCAGAATAATATTTTAGCCTCTTTCGTCACAGCAGGTGAAATACACATGCTCAAAACAAACAAACAAAAACAAAACTCAGACGGGCACCACAATGTACCAGACTCAATATGAAAACTGAGCTTGGGCATTCATTCTTTCTTTTCCCTTTCCTTTCCGGCTTGCCTTCCTTCTTCCTTCCCCCCCTCCTTTCCTCCCTTTTTCTTTCTTTCTTTTTAAATTACTTGAAAACAATCACAGGGACTGAAATGCAGATCTAACAGCAGTGTGTGATTTTGTGTTTTGCTTCTTCACTCTAATAGAAAATATCATATTAAGTCTATCCTAAACTAAACCAAAACCAAAGGTAACACCCTGGCTCTGAGGGCCCATCTTATCTCTGCAATCCTCAGCCACAGATCAGAAATCCTAAGAAACCTGAAGGATAAAAGGCAGTAAGGCCTCTGATGAAAGCAAGGTTCACATTCACAATAGAAAATATGTTCAATAAAGCCAAAGTGCTTACTTAGTAAAGAGACATTAAAAATACATCTGCTTGTGTATGTTCATCCTTAGCTAAAAAAAAAAAAGTACCACTCTGGTAAATAAAAATAATGACTATGCGTATGTGTGGAGAGGGGGTATATGGGAAAATTCTGTACCTTCCTGTCATTTTGTTTTTGGTAAATCTGAAACTGCTCAAAAAACAAAAAGTCTTAAAAACAGGAAAACTCAGGGAAGACATTTTTGGCAAAACTTTGGTTTCGGTTATATACATATATGTGTGTGTTTGTTGGATCGTGATGACGTAAAATGTACTTTTTTAGGTAAAAAAAATTTGTTAGCCACTGGAGTTAAGTTACACTGGCAAATAAAAGCAAAACTTAATCTCAAAAACAACAACAACAACAACAAACAGCTTCCAGGGCTTTATATCAAAGCTGCAATTTAATTCACAATGGATTTGATTCTACTGCTGCCAAAGTCCTACCGGTAATCTGGGGAGTGGGAAGTGCCTGGGAAAGAATGCTGTCCCCAGCTTCAAGTACAAGGCCCCTAACAGAAGGTGGCTTGACGCCGTTGAGGCAAACGAGACTGAAGCATTTCTACGTCTAGTAGCTGAGCAGCTTTCTTTGCTATTTCAGCCTCTGGAGAAGGGTCCCAGCCCTGGGGCCTCGTGGGTGAACAGTTCACGTCTGGAGTCTGCTCAGGTTTCTGAGAAACTCACAGTTTCAGAAGGATCTAGCCAATTCTTCTGAGCTTTCTGGGATTGAGTGAAAATTGCAAAGAATGGAAAACCATTCTTTAACCACACCCCCCACCACCGAGCTTCTGGGGTTCTCAGTAACTTCAAAGTAGAAGAGGACTTTGGAGCCCTGTATTAAATCCTAGGGGCTCCGGAAGCCTTCCCAAGTTCCCAAAGTTGATGTTCTAACCAACAGCACCCTGTGACTTCAGCTATTCAATGCCCCAAACTGCTGGCAGGGTG